AAGGAGAAGGAAAAAGCGATCTGGACGGGCGCGTAAATTATGGCGTTCCTTCGATTAATTGCCGTTTTCAGAACCACCTGTTGTTTGAACAGTAATCTCGCACGGTAGGCGACAGTGCAGCCTCTCTGTACGCGCGTCGTTTGCCAGCGATAATGGTTATCGATAGCCGCCCCTGGTGTATCGATCGTTTCGTCACGCCGAGACACGACGAAGACGTTCCCAACGAGGAATTTCGTCGCTCGTTCCTCCACCAACCAGCCTATCTAGCAGCTCGGAGTGAAATCGTTTAGCGATAAATTACTTGCTGGAACAGCCCGGCCGAGACGGAAGCATTTTCCCGGCCGAGCAAACCTAATTTTCACTTTTCTCGTTTCGTTCCTCCCGCGAGCACACCTCGGTGGAAAACACACGCATACACCACGGCCGCGTTCGCCGAAGAAAGCTTATCAATTTTAATTCCAATTTCAAGCGCGGCCGGCTGATTAAATTTACAATTAGAGCCGACCTCTATTTAACGAGCCGTCCCCACCCCACCCCTCTGTCCCGCTTCGGCCCTCGCTCATTTTTCACGCGCAATCCTCCCTCCCGAATGTTTACCGATATAGAACTACTCGGCAACTGCAATCTCGCGCGAGCTTCGTATCGTATCGTATCGTATCGTTTAATCCGCGCCGGGAACGTGAAACGAAGAGACATTCTTCGATTTAATATATCGACAGCTAGTCGGACCGCGATTCATCGCAGTTCCTCGACGTGGCCGGCAGAAATAGAAATCTCTCGAAATGCTCGATTATCGAACCAATGGTGCACGTTCCTGGCCGGCGGGGGGTGGAGAGGAAGGGCGCGGAAAGATCCGGTAATCTGGCCCCCGAGCGGAAAACTAGACAGGTGACGGGACCCGGATGAAAGTGGTGATTGGCAGCGGCCGATAAGTACGACGAATGGGATAACGCCGTTCGCGCGCGTGTTGTATCAATTACGTACTCGGCAGCGTCAAAATTGATCTACGCTTAATTGGAAATACGCGCGCACGCGAGAGAGGAACCGTTCCGCGCGATTTCAGCTTCGCCGGCCATTGTATCTCCGCGTGCAATTTCGTAACGAGCAGCAGCTCGCCAAAGCCAACTAGACAACGCCGCGAACTGTGCGCGCGCCCGAGCGGACAATCGCGCGGTCCCAAGTTGCCAAAGTACGTCAGGATTGCACGTCGAGCTGATTGTTCGATCTCTGACGGTGATTGAACTGCAGGACCTTTTCCGTAGGAACTGCGAAATTTCGAGACTCGAGAGATTCGAGTGAAACGTGATAAGTTGACTTCAGGGGAAATTATAGATTGCGAATTGAGGGAATCTTTTTGGAAAAGTATATTGTTTCAAGAAGCAATATAATCTTGTCATTTGTTGTTTGAAGAGTGATCGCTGAAAATTTGAATTAAATGTAGGAAAATTCTCATCAGGTACATCCTCGTGTGGCTTTTTAAATCGCGCGAAAGAAGCTATTATTTGTTACGACAGATTTTTAAAATTTTTCAATTTTTTTCAAGAAAATAACAATTATCTGATCGTCCAAAATCTCACCGCGATTAGACGAAACCATTGCAGTCCATTGCAACAAAAGATAAATCTCGTCACGGAGTACCGATCAAGTCTAAACTCGACCGTACAAGTAGTACAGCCACATTTTTTGGTCTGAATTTTCGTCTCCTTTCGAATTTTCAACTCTTTTGATAATAAAAACGGAAGAAAAACCACGAATCAAAAATTTTGTTTCGACAGTCTACTAGATATAACAGCCTCGAGAATATTATTACGAGCTTCTCTGTCGAAATTGATACTTTTGATACTGATTTTGAAAATTGCGGGAAAAACACGCTCTTCAGAGTTTCAACTTACCTTCAGTTATCATTAGGTGACTCGGCCGGCGATAATCTTCAAATTGATTATTTTTCCTGAAGTAGATTCTAACAACAGAATGTCCATTTTTCGGAAAATTCTGATTTTTCCGACTCTGTCGAAGCGTTCCCTTAAAAAGGTGAACTTTATTCGCAAAAGCAGTGAGCAACTTTGCGAGATAGTGAGATAGACTTGGCCGGTTCGGCGAAAAGAAACATTGGGTGCATAAGAAATTCATCCTGGGGGGAAAATTGCGTTCGTCGAAGCGGATGGTCCAGTGAGCGAGATAATCGCCCGAACGGCGGAAACGAAGCCGTCGATAATTTTCTCCCGCTTCGAAGGCTTCTTTACGGCTCATTTGCATAAATAAGAGGTCAAAGAGTGGCGATTAGAGCCGGCCTACCGATGAGATGCTATCGCTTTCTCTCTCTCTCTCTCTCCGAGTTATTATGCACCGCTACGAGGGGTAGTTAAATTTTTGTTTCTTCGCAGGCCTCGCCTGCAGCGAACTGTAACTTCGAGCAATGGTTATTTATAAGGAGGTCTTGCAAACGGCGGCGGTTTCCACGAAAGTTTCGACGTTCGAAACTTTTTCCTCGTATTCTTCTCGCAGTCCTCTGTTTGACTTTAATTTGCAAACTCGAAGTCTCGCGAGTCGCGGAAGATCAGCTCCGGCAGATCAGATCCGGTAGAAATTAACCATTCTCGTTTCGTTTATACTTCTCTCTCTCTCT